TGTAGGTCATATAGAAGCATCAGTATTGTATAAAGACTCTTTAACTGTGACTCTTGTTACTCGTGTGACCTGTTTTGTCCCACTTTCAGTTCAAATTTCTTTGCTTTTTGTCAGTTTTTCTGCCTCATCTTTGAATTTTTTTTCTCATTCAGTACATTGTGTTTCTGCATACAGGACAACTTAAACTCAGAGGCAAAAAAAATGGATGAAATGTTTGAAATGTTCATAATCACTGTAAGGATTATCTTTCTCCTGCTACCTGAGGTCAACTGAAAAATACTACTTTATAAAAGTTCATACTGATTGAGAGCATTAAGAATGTTCCTGCTTTGCTTGAGCTGGTGTACCTGACCACTCATGTGTCACTAGGACGCAGCCATCTTGTGTTAAAGGACAAAGTTAATCTGCCGCCGCTGTAACCAGCCTGTAAAACGTCCCTACACTGCCCCCCGGTGGAGCTACAGCGTAAAGACAGCTGCCTGTGGCTTTATTGAGCATCACAAACTAAACCATGACTCTGACGTTGAAGCAAACCATGCAGATCCCGAAAAGGGCTTTAAATTAATTTATTTAAAAAAAAGCATTTCTCCACTGAAGCAGAACAAACATCAATTTTTTTTTCTTTTACTATTGTTTGGAACGTGTACAATCAGAAAACAGACTCGCCAGGTCGCCAGAACAGAGTAAAATAATCAAGCAAATGTAGGGGGGTGGGGGGTCTGCCAACACCACAACGTCAACACAGCCGAGAGGGACGAGGAAGAGGAGGTAGAGGAGGAGAAGTGTGGGAGTAGAAACAAAAAAAAAGAAGGAGAAGGAGGAGGAAGAGGAGGGAAATGAAAAAACACAAACATTTAATCAAGTGCAGGTCTGGTTCGGACAAAGCAGGTCTTTTTTTCCTCTGTTCAATTTACAGTTAACAACGTCTCTGTCGTCGGGTACATGCAAGGTCAACATCTGGAACTACACATGGAGATTTTCATATGCTTATATCGGTTATCTGTGCAAGTATTAAAATATGTAGGTATAACTAAGCAAATTTCATATGGATATGTCAGAACGAGGGGGGAAAGAAACAAAATGTTACCAAAACTATTACACTGTTTCACCGAACAGAAAAGGAAGTCCACATAAAAAAAAGTGAGTTTTCTAACTTAGTTACCGAAATGTCATCGACCTCGTCATTTTGAACGCTTCCTTTAATTAAATTATTACTTATCTAGATAAGTGAAAGTACATTAAAAAAAAAAAAAAAAAGTCCTATGCTCCACATTTGAACAACAAAATACTGCATATCTACGTACAGCTGCGATAAAGGAAGGTCAGTATTGTGAGAGGCTAGCTGCCAGAGTTTCAGGAATATTGGCTCCGAGTTGATCCCTTTCTGAATGCGTTGACCGTTTTTTTTCTTTGTTTTTTTTTTTTCGTTTTTTCAACCATTGAATGCTCGTCGTGCTCGTCGCTTCAGTTGGTCGCTTCGTCCCGACGGGGTCCGGGGGGAGGTTGTCTGCCGGCTGCTGGAGTCTCCTCTCTGCTCTGAGGTAGATGCGGCAGAAAGGTGGTGTCCAGCCCCGAGCCGAGTCAGGGCCCTCTCCCCCTGCTGGACCGCTTGAGGTCAAAGGTCAGCTCTTAAGGGTTAATTGTTGTTAAGGCTTCCTGTGGTCTTAGTTTAGTCACTCTCCTGTTTCAGTGGCTCACAGGGGACACCTTTGAGTTCATCTTTGTCCCGTTTCTTTTATTTTGTTCTCAACCCACATTCCAGTCTTTAAAGGGGTGGACATGATTTTTTTTCCTTTTGATGCTCTAGAACAGATAACCCAAACTGAAAATGAAAAGAATCCTCTCCGTTTGGCACCTCGGGAGTCAGTGGTAGAAGGAGGAGAAACGAAAACGAACGACAGGGACGAGAGAGAGAAACCGTGGAGGGAGGAGGAGGTGTTGGGGAGGAAGGGGGGGTCGTGTGGTGTGTGGTTGTACAGACTAGTTAACCGGGTCGTTAGCTGCCGACGAGTCCGAGTCTGCCGCCGTGGTGGTCGGGGCCGCCTCGTCCTCCGATTTCTTGCGCTTGGCGTCCGGCTGTTCGCTGCCCAGCTGGTCCCCGTTCTGTCGTTTGGTGGGGAGGGAGGCTGAG